ACAATTTAGGAGAGAGATGCCATTCCAACAAATACTTTCCAAGTATTTTCATAAATTATGCTTGCAACTGTTCATCTTATGAATGGATCCACAATAGGATCTTTGAAGGAGGTCCTTTTATGTTCATGGAATTTTGCTCAAGGGAAGATGGAGTGGACAAGATAGAACAAAACGGTTCCAGAAACAATCACTCTCGAAGGAAATAGAGAATAGCATGTTCTAATTTCTTTCTGCAGATATATGTTTTATATAGTGCATATCTTCACAGTTTTATAATTTTATTTATGCACCTGTTCATTGCTGCTATGTAGACACAAAAACACAGCGATTAGACCAGGGGTCCCCAACCACTGGTCCGTGGACCAGTACTGGGCCACGGCATGCCAGCAACCAGGCCACACAAAAAGCAAATCCCCATCTGCCAGATGCAGGCAGCACACAAAACCACACACCCTCTGGTCCGTGGAAAAACCTCTTTCCACGGAACTGGTCCCTGGTGCCCAAAAGGTTGGGGACCTCTGGATTAGACGGCAATTGTCAGAAAAAGAGTAAAGATTCCATAAAAGTGCTGATACCCAGGATAAAGCAGGTTGTTATTACAAAGGAGAATCTAAAGATACAATTTTAAGCAGCATCAGGGAAAGCAAACAAACAGACAGCTACAAATTAGGTTAAAAAGAAAGGAGAAAAAGAATGTAAACCCTCAAAAAGGAGAGAGAGAGAGAGAGAGAGAGAGAGAGAGAGAGAGAGAGAGAGAGAGAGAGAGAGACTATTCAAATGAAACCAGAGTTTTAGCAATCATGCAGAAAAAAAAAGAGAAATGAGCACAAAATGTAAAACTGTTCCTAATTTTAGAGCATCTGGCTTCTACTATAGCTTGGCAGGGCATGAGCCTGAAAACAGATACAAGGAAAAGACAGATCTCCAGCACATTAACTATAGCTCTAATCTTAAATTAAATCAAATAAAAACCAAATACCTACTTGAAAGTCTAATTGAAGGGGCTATCAGATTAGAGGCTCTATGCCAGTGATGGCGAACCTATGGCACACGTGCCAGAGGCGGCACTCAGAGCCCTCTCTGTGGGCATGTGTGCCGTCGCCCCAGCCGTGCCTCCCCTCACGGCCTCCTCCTCACCAGCAGCCCCCTCCAGAGGAGAGTCACCCCTGGGTGTGGCCTGCGCAGAGCAGCACAGCCAAGGGCATGGTAGCCAGGCAACAGGGACAAGACTCCACCCTCGTGCCCCGTCATGCTGAGATGATGCTGCAGGGTGCAGGCAGAGGGTGTGGCCACCATGGCACTGCAGGCTGCCTGGGTGATCTGCGGTAGGCTGTGGAAGTGGTAGATGACCCTGAGGGTGCGGTGGGGACGGGGCAGATGGGTCAGAGGTGGAGTGAGCGGGGTGGGGGACAGAGCGGGGGTGGGCGGGGTGGTTTTGGGGCACTCAGTCTCTAAAAGGTTCGCCATCACTGCTCTATACTAGGCTGTTGGTACAAGATACATACAAGATACTCTAGCAGGAACGTCCACGGGGGTGTGGTTAAAAAAATAAAAAACCTTGACTAACAAACATGCAATGCTTTCATTAACTATTGTGGATGCCACCTTGACATTTTTGAGCATACCTTGTGGATACCTCTGGATGCCAGATTCAGTATTTTGAAGCTGTTCTTAAAGAAGAAACGTTAGTAAAAGCTGAGAGACCCTGAGGAACCATTGCCATTTGGAGCAGACAATCCTGGTTAGTGAATACTTTGGAAGCAGCCAAGTCCTTGTTCTCAAGAAGAACCCTCATAACTCAGGTCAGTGGTGGCGAACCTATGGCACGGGTGCCAGAGGCAGCACTCAGAGCCCTCTCTGGGGCACGCGTGCCATCGCCCCAGTCCTAGTCCTTCAGCTGGGTTTTATAAAACCTTTTCGCTTTAGGCCTCTGCCGCCGTGTACAAAAAAAAGAGGTTCAATCAATCAGTCAATTTCAACTTCTCGCAGGAAAAAAAAAGATCTTGCAAAGTTGGAATTGATTGATTGAACTTTTTAGTCCCACCCAGTCTGCTGTTACCACCGCAGCCACGCCCACCCAATGGGCCACACCCACCCAATGGGCCACACCCACCCGGCACCCGACGATGCATAAGTGGGTTTTGGGTTGCAGTTTGGGCACTCGGTCTCTAAAAGGTTCGCCATCACTGCCTCAGGTTATTCCCCAATTCCAGATTTGATTAATTTTTTCCCCCAGCTTGTATTGGAAACTAGAATACAAAACTGATATTAGAGCTAGGCTGCTCTGCCTTTGCTTTTTACTCTTAGATCTGTGGTCAAATAAATCTTGTACATCGGAATCACATCTAGTCCTGATGGAACATTGTTTAAAAAAAACAGTAATAGAAAGTAATTCATGCTCCCAGATTTAATTAAATAGATGAAATTTCCTTCTTAGCAACATAGAGTAGTTTTATTAAATCAAAGTAATCTCACACTTGAGAAACTCTTTCTTTCATTGATGTTTTTACAATATGTACATTTAAGAAATCTTAAGTCACATTTTAAGAAAATTCAAAAACGACCACAATCGAAATGATAAAATTATAGACAACATTACTAATTGTGCAATACACAGAAATTTAAATACTGGGATTCCCTGTAATAGATCTGCAACCTTGTTCCCGGAATGTCTACGCAAGCGTGGTTGCAGCATACTTTTCTATTTTTAACCTTACTCTCTGACTTAAAATATTGCTTGAGGCTTAGTCATTTAAATCCATGTAGAATATTCTCAACCATTTTCTTAAAAAAATAATTTCAGATGGCCAGAATGAATTTGGGAAGAAGGATCAAGTGAACGGAAATAGTAAAAGAAAGACAAAATGCATAGACATGCGTGTTGAAGAGGTCTGAAGTAGCATACGATGTTCTGCTAGAAATTCCAAGGAGAAAAAAAAAAACTAAGACAGCAGATATACTAGACCAGGGGTAGGCAACCTTGGCTCTTTTATGACTCGTGGACTTCAACTCCCAGAATTCCTGAGTCAGCTATAAAAGAGCCAAGGTTGCCTACCCCTGTACTAGACTGTGAAGAGCAGTCTCTCAGAGGCATCAACAAGTGGAGAGGGTGGCCAAGGGTAAAAGGCAGTCACCAAAGCATTCAGACACACAGAAAGTTTGTGCAGGGTGGCTGCTCTTTATAACTGAAAGGCAGGGTGGTTGATGTTCACATTCTTAAGAGTGCATTGGCAGGAGATTTTTCAGCACCTATTGATGTATTCACGCCATCTTCTTCTGTACCACAGCAATGACGAGTCAGTACTTAACAATTAACACAGTAAGAATAGTTTCCCTATTGCCAGTAGAACATAATACTACCGTGAGGTACCACAAGTGAACAATGAAATGGCATTACCTGTCCCAAAACAAGGCAGCAGCTGCACAAGTACAGCATGAGGCTGGAAATAACTGTGGGGAGACGAAAGATTTGCACTCTGGACCGGGATCAAGAGAAGACTAGAAACTTTAATCCCAGCATTAAGCAAGACTGAGAGAGGCCTGCTCAGGAGAGCATCGTGAAGGCACAAGTGCAGCTCTGGGTGGGCCCAGGGCTCCAAGTCATGGAAGACCACATACGAGATTCCATATGGAAAGCGGGTCAGGACTTTGGGTCAGGTTACATGAGCTCCAGGGCACCTGTCTTTGGATCTCCCAACATGCTTTGTTTTTACTGTGCTCTTGGCCAAAGGGCAAATTAATTGGTCCTCCAAAGCTGCATTTACCCCTTAATCAATTGCAAGCCTAACAGCAGTCTGGGAACTGCTAGTTTGAATGAGGAAGTTGTGCAAGCGAACATGATTAACTTCTACCTCAGCTATGTTGCTCCAAAAATTAAAGACTTCTAACTGCTTTGCAAGGCAGATGAAGATGTCAAAAGATCTGATCTGAAACCACCCACTTCAAGATAGCTTGGCTCTTCGCTCAAGCTTCTAGGCTAAGGAATATGCATTTGCTATCATGAGTACAGTTGGCAATTTGCAAATCAGTCAGGACTAAAAGTAATGGGATCATTTCTTTTCTGGAAGGGAAAGAGGACAATGTGCTACAAGAAAGGGAAGGAGAAAGAAGAAGAAGAAAAAAAGTGGGCTTAGTTTTCCATGAAGGCTGGGAAGAGGAGATATAAACACTTTTCGCACTCTGTTTGGTTATATCAATCCCTACTGGAGTTTCACAACAGAAATAAAGCTAGAAACCAGTGTAATGCCACTAGTAATGGAGCTATACTGGATATTCGAGAATTTCTTATTCTCATTAAGCCAAGTTCCCAAGGTAAAAATCAGAGATTGTCATCCAAGAAAAATTGATGGTTGCTGCCTAAACGATAAGACGTATCTGCAGATTCAAAGGGAAACTTAAAACTTGCCATCATTTCTACAGTGCCTTGGTATTACACACCAACTCAACAGTTTACAATAGTGGAGGGTTGGCTAAGAGAGAAGAAGAGATGTGCAGAGACAGCACCCTCCAGTTGTCCTTGCAGATCAGATACACCAGCAATGGCAGCTCTCTCGTTTTACCTGCCACACCCAGCATCTTCCATCATCGTATCCAGCGGAAGGCCGGTGCAGGCTCTTCACTAAGATGAAGCGGTGATGATGAGCTAGAGAGGGAAGTGCAGAGAGAGACACACAGAAGGACCCTTCTCCCAACCATTAAGAATGTACATATGCTTTATACATACATTCACATTTACAGTAATATAAATATATTTAAAAAAAAAAAAACACCAGGAGATGAGCAGGTCAAAAATTGGGGTCAGGGCCAGCCCTGGGATATTCCGTATACACTCCTGCCATCCTCGCTCTCTCAACGTGGAAGAGGAGTAGCAAGCAAGACGGCTCTCTTGCAGTACACTGAAGGTTTCTGCAGAAGAGGTTCCTCTTCTGCCTGGTCTTCGAACACTTCCCCTCTGGGGTGGGAGTCTGCTGCCATCCTGAAACAACGAGCTGCACACACACACGCACACACACGCTGGTGGTGGGCATGTGTTTGACTGTGAGCGAGCGCCTTCTTTTCTGAGTCAGATCATAAGCGAGTCGGTTCCTCTTCACTTTCACTGCAGTTCCCGCAACAGTCCTGGAGAATGGAGGGAGGGAGGGAAAGGGGAAACGGAGAGCACAGAGCAAGCACAGAGTGAGTCCAGTTATTCAACAAGCAGGTAGCCACAGGATTTTATTCCCACTCCCCGCAGAGAAACTCCATTACTCAGAAATATGCTTTTTTTGGCCCAGCCCCACTTAAAACAAGGCTGCCAAAATACAAGTAACACTCTCTGGAAGCCAAAACTCATTGGATCTTCCATTACATTTCTTTCCGGCCACTCTGTGCATTTCCCATGGACCGGTAACGCTTTACTTATGGATTAGGGAGAACGTAAATGCTATTAGCGGGCCGTGAACAAAACAAATATCACTCTGTATTAGTGAGCCCAGCCCAAAGATCGGAATGTAACTCAGCTCAGTAAAATTGCAGCTGGAAGATGCGCCGCACAGAACCATGAGCCACTTATTCCCTCGGACTAAGCAGGCAATTAACCCAGGAACCTGAGTGCGGAAAGTTTCAAGTATCCAAAATGTTAGCATGATCTTAGAAAGCCCTCAGGACCTTTGGTACAAGTTGAAAGAAGAAAAAAAACCCTTTCATTTCCTAGTAATGGGACTACCTAGATACGGGAGCCATAATAAATGGAGTTTTTCTCCCCCCCAAAAAACGATCAAGATAAAGCATTTTTGGTGTTTTGCAGAAAGTAGAATTAGGGACTTGAGGGATTATTGCTGCAGAGAAGCAGCATTTCCGGAAGGGCGGGATGTGGGGGGGGGGGGGTTAGGAAGGAACGGAAAGGGTTAGAGTCCACATTCCTTTCCCTTGTCTTGTCATGCCTGCAGTGGAGTCTGGGACAGCTGGGAGAGAAGAGGTTCCTCACCTCTGAAAAAAAAAAAAAAGCAAACTTGCTGTGAGAGGCCCAACCAGGGATCCCTGCTCCGCCAATCAAACAGAGCCACTGGAGCAGGCTGCTGAGTTTTACTCCAAAGCAGCAACTTCCCATTAGAAACGTAGAGGGCCAATTCAAAAGTGCCCTTGTTTACTATATGCAAAGTAAAATAAATAATTAAAAGAAAAGGACACGGCATTGTTCTTAAGCTACATGGTAGCTGTGGGTGCTGTGGAAAAATGCTCTATTTTTAAATCACGAAGCCAGGCGGGAGAGAAGGAACAACCTTGGGAGAAAACAATGGGACAATGGGACTTTCAAGTGTTCCGAGCTCTCCTGCTTCTGGTCAGCTTGGAGTTTTCCCGACGGGACGCAGAAATTCTGGCCCCGTATGGACAATAGGCCTTTCAGAAGGCGCAGCGTTGTGTCTCGTTTCTTAACAGGCACTTCAGCAGCCTCAGACTCATCATCCTTTGAAGGCAGGGCTACAAACGTGATGCTGCTGGCTGGGCCAGGAGGTTTGTTCCTTACTTCTACGCTACTGTCTAGGACAGGGGTAGGCAACCCAAAACACTCAAAGAGCCACTTGGACCCGTTTCCCACCGAACACAAAACATTGGGAGCCGCAAAACCCTTTTGATATCTAAAATGAAGGTAACACTGCATATATCCTTTTTTACCGTGTTTGCTCAGTGATCTTAATATATATATATATATATATATATATCATAAAGGTAAAAAAGGATATATGCAGTGTTATCTTCATTTTAGATGTCAAAAGGGTCTCTCTCTCTGTCTCTCTCTCCCTCCCTCCCTCTCTCTCTTCCTCTTCATCTTTCTGCCCTTGGTCTGCCAGTCCTCTTCCCCCACTCTCTTTCTCTCTCTCTCCCTCCCTCCCTCTCTCTCTCTTTGTCTTCCTCCCTCTCTCCCTCTCTCTGATCTTCTGCTCACCTGGCAAGCTGGCTTCAAGCTGTTCTCCAACAAGCTCAGGGGTAGGCAACCTCGGCTCTTTTATGACTCATGGACTTCAACTCCCAGAATTCCTGAGTCAGCATAGCTGGGCTAGCTAGCTCTCTCCTGCCCCTCCTGCTTTTTGCTTCCTGCAGAGACGCAGCAAAGGGAGGAGCCCCGCCCAAAAAGCTTTTCAGCTTGTCGGAGAACACCGTGAGTCTACTCTCTTTTACACACACACACACACACACACACAACACAAAGAGAGACAGAGAGAGAAGCAGGGAAGCACAAGTGCCTCTCTCTGTCTCTGTCTCTCTCTGCAAATGGCAGAGGAGGCTGGGAGCCACAGGGGAAGGCTCAAAGAGCCGCATGCGGCTCCAGAGCCGCAGGTTGCCGACCTGTGGTCTAGGAAGAGCTTTAAAAGCATTTGGTTGTGGGCATATCCACACATTCAGGAGCAAATGGAAAGTTTACATTAAATGGACCTTCGTGGAAATGACTTCACAAGTGATTAGCATCATACCACAGAACAGATGGTAGGCTTTAAAACTTATTCCTCCATACAGACCGCTACTTCAGGAAGGAAACTGAGATAACTACGAAGTAGTACACACAACCTTAACACAGAATTACTGTACTTGAGATGCAAAACTCTGGATGACCAGAAAACCTCCATCAAGAATTGCTATTAGCAGCCAACTAGTTGTGGTCCAGATTTTTTAATTCAGCTATGATAGCCTTACTGCGTTTAGGCTCCTGATCAGTTACTGGGAAGACATCACTCACCCAAGATTTGATTTTCGATGAAGAAAACAGATCTAATATACATCCCAGAGATCTGACCAATAGAAAACGGATGAGTATTTGACCTTCCTCTGTCTACCAAGTAGGGCTGGGAGGAAAAACAGGAATGTGTGGGAATGCTAAATGTCTAGTCAGATGAACCATTCAACAGTCTGCTAATTTTGATACATGAGGTGACAGTGATCCCCCTTATGACCTGCTGCCCAATTGTTTCAAATTCTAAAGCAACATGGAACACCTTTGAGTGTTGATGCTGGACCAACCCAGATTACTTTGTCTTGGTAATTTAACAAACCCATCAAGTTTGCTCAGTTAGGAGCAGGGGTGGGCAATTAATTTCCCCAAGGGGTGACATGAGAAACTGGGACTGTTGTGGAGGGCCAAACCAATAGGACTATAAAGGTGCATAAGACATGCATGCACACACATATGTAAACGGGGGGAAAAATAGCAACCGCCTTCAAAATAAAAAAAATGCAGTTGTATTGTGTGCATGGCATACACATATTTACATTTGATTTCTACTTTCTGGACATGGAGAGCCAAAGGACTGGATGTGGCCTGAGGACCGTAAAATGTCCAAGTCCAGTTAGGAGTAACCCAGAGTTTCATGTCATGTCAGCAACTTGTGCCAATGAATATGTGATACAACAGAGCACCTCTTCATTTAGTAGTCTGACGGATGGAATTGATACTCTAAAGGAAGAAGAGTTATACGAAGTAAGCTATAGCTCACAAAAGTGCATGTCTTTTAATAAAATTGGTTAGCTTAAAAAGGTGCTATTAAAAGCCTTTTGATCTATGTTTGTTTGATGGTCTGACAGCATAATGGTTTATGCTGGATGTGTTATTAATATGGACTTTCCCCTACACAGCAAATGGATCAAAATGGCCACTTGAAGGTGTTTAGGAAATGTTCTGTCTCATTTAGAGAATATCAAAGCCTGCTTGTATGGAAAGAAAATAGAAATGAGAAAATAGCTTATTCCTATCATTCCTAATTTGACCTTCCCCTCACGGCAGAATTAGATCATTCTTGATAGATGAAAAACTGTTCACCCTGACTGAGACTCCATTACTAAACTGAATTAATAATGGGTTAAAGTAATATAACTTACTATATTAACTGGCAACTACTTATCTGCTTTCTTGGAATCCTTTGAGCTCAAGGAGGTGAGCAGGGAATCTACAGCAGTGAAGCCTACTACATGTTTGTCTAACCATTGCCGCTCCTTGCTAATCAAATAAGCTGAAAGGATTAATATCATGGGAAATAAAGAAGATTATGAAAGGTTGCAGGAGGCAACACATAAAAGCTTTTCTCCCGTGATCTTGTACAGGACTGTGATGTGGCCCACCTTATTCAACGTCTACGTGAAACTATGGGGAAGAAATTGCGTGGAATTCTGGAATGAGATATCACCCATCTGCTGATGGTATTTAGCTCTATCACCCTTGGGCAACCAGTATGAAGGAAACAGCTCATATCCTTCAATCCTGCTTGGGCTCGATAAGAAGGAGCCAGTTTGTAAAGTCCAGTTCTGCTGCTGAAGAGGAAGTCTGGTTCAGAGAGTTCTTGTTTTGAAAGAGGTTGCAACCCTCCGAAAGAGCAAACTCATAACTTTGGCAAGACGTGTTTGCACAATTACATTTAATGTTCCAGCTGTGACCTTTACTGGGTCGGTATAATTTGGCATGATTATTTATGCTCTTTAACGCAACATGTGAAAAGCATCCAGAAACTTATATAAAAGGTTGCATGCCAGGCTTTTGTCTGTTACTTAATATTAATATTAGCACTCTATTATACCAATATTGAAAAATCTGCATAATTGCTCAATGTTTTCTGTCCGTTCATCTTTAAAGTAGCCTTAAAAACTTATGAAATGACTATTTAAAGGGCGCCCTGCTTCTTTATAAATTTGTTTGGTTATCTGTATATACGGAAGATGCCTGAGATGACCTAATTCGCAAATATTGTTTATTAGATACATGTCAAAGAGTTTTCTTCTTGCTGCCCCCTAAAATGTTAAATGGTCTTCCTTAAGGGCTCAATTGATTCTAGCTCAATTTCGGGAACAAAAATTAAGAGATATATTTTTTCAATCCTGTTTGCTAAACTGCTCTTAGCAGTTTCATTTTATGGTTAAGAAATAGCGGTATCCCTTTGGTGTAATAATCTGACAGTATTTTTGTGATTTAATTGGCTTTTAGTTGTTGTACATTGCCTTAAAATGCTTTCAACTGAAAGGCATGATAAAAATACCTCAACATAAGATAATTTTATTTTGTTTGTCAGGGGTCGTAAGGCTAATACAATTAAAAGGAACATGACTGTTAGTTACCAACCCAAATCAAACAAGCCTAGAGTAATTGTACTTTGCTGCAAGTCACACTTAACTTCATTCCAGGTTTGCAAATTGAAACCTGTTGCTTACTTAACAGGTTTCTGAGGTTTATTCAGAAAATAAGTTGCTTTGGATATTAAGGACTCAAACCTTAAGGATCTTGCCAATCAACTAAATTTTAGCTGTACCGTACTGATGATGTTACCTAGTTTGGGTAATGAAACGCCTGCAAGGAAACAACCAGGCTCAGAGAGCACCAAGGACCCCTCATTTCAACTCTGAGCTACAAATATTCTCCTCTGTCAGTAAATTAACTATGCCCTAGAGATGCTCCAATAGAGGATGTGATGGGAAAGCTGAGATGAACAACCATGGAAACTATCTAATGGTAAGAGCCATTCCGAACAAATGCATCTCAAGGGAGATCTCATCAGGCAGTGCCACTCAACCCTGCCAGATGAATTACCTGTCGGCTGAAGAGACGCTGGAGTAGGCCCTTTTTGGGCAGGGGAGGCTGCTGCCCTTTCCAGTCCAGATCAGGAGGTATGATGCCATCTGGACCAAATACATTCAACTCCTTGAAACATTCTGTATCTATCATCTACAAAATAATAATAAAAATTTCAGAACTTACTATAGCACTGCCCACTCATTTCTCAGAGCAGCATCCAAAATCAGCTACCAGTGCCAGTTTTTGTGGCAAAAGCAGATAACCCATTTTTTTTTTTTAAAAAAAAATCTGCTTTCAGAAGCACCATTTCCCAGAAGAACACCTACCTCATTTTGCCAGGGAATAGGGACACTTCCCGTTGCAAATTTATGATAGAAGTCATGGTCCGTTGGTTCTAACTCTACCCCTTTGACTGTGGAAAACTGCTCAATATCCAGGACATCTTTGCAATAAATAGCTTGGGGCTAGAAGGAATAGATGGAAAAAGTGTATGGAAGGCTTATTTTCTTACATTTAAAATAGCAAACAATATTATAAGAGCACAAAACCTGACTACACCACCCATGCATTTTCAACTCACATCTGGTTTAAAAGGTGGGTCCAGCATCCCAGCTTCCAGCCGCTTGAAATTCAGATTTCTAAACAGAGGATGGTCTTTCACTTCTTGTGCACCAGACCCTCGACAGCCCAACCGTTCCAAGGGCTCTTTGCACAAGAGCTAAAATGCAGAACAAGAAGTTCAAACACAAGACTCTGTATAGAGTTACGCAGCTTCCATTAAAAGAGGAAAAAAATTAACCCAAATTTAAACTGTTAAAAACTACTTTAGGGGGCAAAAATACTGACATAAAACTTGAAGTATTCTTTGCGGACTGTTTTTTGTCCTGCTTTTTGCTAATCCCAAAATTCATGTTATATTTTTGGCTGATTAGAAATCAGTCTCAAGCTGGCAAAATTACTTTTTATCTTTTACATCCTTACCATTATTTACCATAAAATAAAAAATGGCCCCCAACATAGTAATTTATTAAATGTTTATAAACCTTTTTTTAAAAAAAACCAAGGTGATTTACAAAAATATCACAAATATGTGATAAGACAAAATACAATTTAACTGGGGAAAAAAACACCTTTTAAAAAAATATAGTAAAAAAACAAGACACAAAACCGGATGAGGGAAAGGCCAACCAACATATACCTAAAATGCAAGAATGTCTGGCTTTGATTTATCAAGAGCCCTTGTTGAGTGGGCCCATCTTGGCAATGACACCAACTGCTAATCGACAAACCACAGGAGAGAGCAGATGTTTGAGGGGCTAATGTATTAGGAGATGCTTTCTTGGCTAACCCATTTAGAATTTATATTTTAGCACCTTGAATCTAGCTCATTGGCAACCAGGGATACGTACAGATAAAGCACCCCAATGAGGAACCCAACCATTCCATTCTGCATTAGTTAGAGCCCCCAGTCCAGTCCCAGGGGGACCTCCTCACCTAATGCATGAATCATGGTGACCAAACTCTGCCTGTCTGAAGCCGGCACAGCTGGAGTATCATCTTCAGTTGGTAAAAGTGACTCTTTTGCCTGCTTTATTTTTCTAGTCTTTTAGGCCTCTTTATGGATCATAACAGAAGTTTATACAGGTAGTCCTTATTTGACAGCCACCACTGGGATGGGCGACTTAGTTGTTAACCGAAGCAATTGCTGAGTAAAATGGCCCGTGCTTATGAACTTACTAGTTTGCTTTGCTTTATAAACCTGTGTCATAAATATGAGAACTGGTATCATTGTCGTAAGTTTTAGTGAATGGAATGAGGCAGTCACTGAATAAGATTTTTTCCCCTAACATTTTGGCTCACTATTTGATAGCTAACAGCCTTTCCAGGCTTCCTCATACACTGCAGTTACAGTTAAGAAACAAAATTAAGACCACATGCGTCTTCTTGGGATATCTAATGAATCTGGCTCAGAAAGAGTTTATTAATTTAATTAATATCACAAGGTGGTATTAAACTATCATGGTGAGGGACCTGTAGATTTCTGATACGTATTTTCCACTGATTTGAGACAGGTGTTCACGCTAGTGAGGGAAACTGAGGCCCACAGTGGGAGCTTGATTTCACCTTCTATCCGTCCTTCTTCCATGCCCCTCTCTTGTTAGTCAAAAATGTGCAGAAAGGATATTTGAAACAATGGCTATTTATTTACTAGTTAGTAAACTGGGAAATCAAGTTTATTCCTAAACAAAGGAAAGTTTCAGAATAAACATCTATACGAGTTTACACAAGGATACAAAAAATTTAAAGCATGATTTAATTGCTTTCTGACAGGTAAATGTCAGGTAGGATTAGTTTGTATACAGATATGTTGAGATGTGCAGCAGCACAATTGCAGGAAGATTGTGCTACATACTGGTCTAAATACAGGTTTGCATTTAACTTTAATATATAATATGGCTTGTTTTGCTTCAACCTATGCAGGTAGTACATTGCCTCTGTGATCTATAAACCATCTTTAATGGTTTAGAATCTACTAACCAATAATCCATGGTTTAGTATGTGGTAAAAACCCAGGCACTGATCATTGATAATGAACTGAAATTCTTGCACTTAACTGACTACCAAACTACATTAAAAGTATTTTTGTTCCTGTTTTTTTATTTTTAACAATTTAACACAGGGGTAGTCAACCTTGGCTCTTTTATGACTTGTGGACTTCAACTCCCAGAATTCCTGAGCCAGCTAAGCTGGCTCAGGAATTCTGGGAATTGAAGTCCACGAGTCATAAAAGAGCCAAGGTTGACTACCCCTGATTTTAACACATATAATAAAAAAAATCTTTGATTTTTGTTTTGGCTGAACCCATTCTGAAGTAAGCCAAGACAGCAAATTCGGTTTTAATTATATTATAGTTTCCACCTTTGAAAAGGAAAGGGTTTATGTTGTAAATTCTAACTGCCTGATGGTCAAAGAGGCAGCACACCTACCATGGAACACAGTGAGCGGGAAAAAGGTGAGAACTTCTCAGAATACTCTTCATGGACTTCCTTCACCAGACGCTCCACTTCTTCACGCTTGATCTTCTTCCTGCGCTGCTGGAACGGAGACTGACCCTCAATCATCTCATACAGCAGGCATCCTAAGGCCCACCAGTCTGGGCTGAATGTGTACCGTTCATTCTTCACAACTTCAGGAGCTGCAAAAAGAACCATTTCAACCACATCTATACGCAATCTTTACTTATTTGAGATCTGATCTTAGGCAAATGTCAGGCGCAAAACACCAGGGCCACACGTTAACTTTCAGTTAAACTGATTTATTGCTCATGCCTATGCACAGGAATCTACTCAACTAACAGATAGCATTATTTTGGCACTAGATAAGGGCTAACGGAATTCAAGAAGGGTTGAATTTAGCCTGTTTGTGACAACGTAGAGAGTCTAGGCTGATTCCTCTTTTGACTTTGTCCCTGGGCTATGGCCACTCCTCCTACAGGAAAGCTCCAAAGCTCAGTGGGTGTAGTAGTGTTTTACATGCATTTGTTTGTTTATTTGTGCCCTTATCTTATAACCAACTCTTGGCAACTCCCAACAAGTACCTTTTAACCAACACCCCGGTTTTGGTACTAGACAGGGCTATAAAAGCCTGAAATCTTGAAGAGCCATTGCTGGCCAACATACAGAACACCAAATTTAATATATCAGCAGTCCAGTTCAATGTAAGACAATTTTCTAGGATTAATGGCTCCAATGGACTCTGACCAAAAGTACTGTATCTTACCAGCTTCATATTTACTGTAGGGTGGGTGGTAGTGGTGCAAGATGGATACTTGCAAGGAAGAAGCAGAAGTAGTAAAGGATGCATTTTCTATTTCCCCTTACTTGGGATTCAGAGATGTAACACCGAATGCAAGAAGGAGCCATCTCTTTCTGTATCCTATTGTAATTACAGGCTCCAACCTTTCTATACTGTTTGCACAACATTGTCACAAAACTGTTGATTCCTTCTCTTCCATCTAAGCAGCACAAGGTAATCAATCTCTTAGGGACATCTACCAACATATCCAGAAGATGAATGCAAGCCAATTTGTACTGTTTGAATACTTTATTCCAACTACAATTATATTTCTAGTCTGTAAACCCTGGATGGTTGTTTCAGGAAGGAATGCTGCTACACTTCTACACAATCCTGCAGCTGAATCTTTAAAAACCCTCCACAGTCCAAAGTTTGAAATGAAGATTTATTTCTGGGTAATCTGAAAACACCTTCCCAAGTAGCTGCCTCAGCTTTTTCAACAGGCCTACCTACAGATCTGCAGAAACATGAGGGATTTATTTGTTTCACCAGTACTGTAATATTTCTGTTGGCCCCACAAAACAAACAATACTGGGAGTCCAAAGGTAACCCTGAAGGAGAAATATTTGGATCAAGCAAGTTATTGTCAAAATAGAAGCAAATGAGGCGACAAATGCATTTCCTTATTCGGCCCTGGAGATCTAGCATATGTGACCACTTTCTACCAGTTATTCAAACTTAAGCTCAGATGCCCTTCAGGATGACATTCACCTGTTTTGCCCTGTTAAGTTGTGACAAAATATTCTGTCCTTGCTCTGATGGGCTTCGCGATTTCCATAGTTTCCAGTCAACACCCCAGAGCCCTTCTTGGATACTCACCCATGTAGCCAACGGTTCCAACCCGACCTTTTATTGTCTGTTCTTCCGGAACATGAACAGCTAGTCCCAGGTCAGAAATGCGGATGTGACCTTGTTAAGGGAAAAAGGAGACATGAGAATGCCTTGTTTACAGATTTCCCTCGCTTGCTATAAAAAGGGAGTAGCATCAACTTACCCATAGAGGGGATCAATCGGTCTGTGAAAAACATTTACTCACCATGGTCATCCAGTAGAATATTCTCTGGCTTCAAGTCCCTGAAGAGGAACACAGTAAGAATAACGTCATCAAGATGTTCATACAACATATTTATCTGTATCTTGGGTAAAGGGAATATTGATCAGGCAGGACTAGTTTCCTTAGATTTCACCAGTACATATTTTCACTCCCTTCAGGAGGAAATGCATATGACCAGTTTCTGAACAATAACTGTTATTTTACAGCAACAGCGCTCAAGGTATTGCACAATCCTTACTGAGATAGTCCCCAACTGAATTCCAGCTATGCCCAGAATAAAAATGCATTCTCACCTGTAAACTATCCTCTCTCGATGGAGGTCTTCCAAGCCACAGCAGATTTCGGCCGCATAGAAAACAGCCCGTGGCTCTTCAAATCCTGCTTCTCCCATGTGGTAGATGTGGAACTTCAGGTCTCCACCATTCATGAGAGTCAGGACCAAGCAGAGTGCATCTTTTGTTTCATAGGCATAGGCCAGACTCACCTACAATAAAATCAGATCGTTTCAGGACTAAAACAAACCTAACACAGCTCCAGAAAGCACAGCACCCAGATACAAATATGCAGAACTGTGCTGACTATTCACCTTTACAAATATCCCCAGATATGCAGAGACAGAAAAAGCTCTTGAAACAAGATGTTACTCAAGCAGGCATTAATGGTAGTTAATAGCTAACTGCGTGCTATAATGTTTAATGTAAAGTTAAGTGGTTGCAGAGGAGCTAAAAACAATGGAGGAAACAGCAGGAGTAGTGAAAAGGCCAAATATAAGGAGGTCACTGCAAGAAGACGCTGTGCAGTTGATTTCTCTTCAGTGAAATAAGGACAGGTACAGGTAGGTAAGGTTGCTCAGTTATCTCAGTGCATCCCCTTTGGGATCTTTTCAGAGCTGGTTTCAATAAAAGCTTCTCAGTGGAAAGTCCAGCAGACTGCAGGTGAGGCCAATTGTGTACTCTCTCCCATCAAATATGGCCTGATTTAGAATCAGCTGGGAAGGACGGGACTCATGAGATAACCCCACCTATATAGCCTAAGTTTCAAGTGCTGCACATTGATACTGGGACTAAAGCCATGGAACATTTTGTTACATGTAAGTGCAAAACAGGAAGGAAGGAAGGAAGGAAGGAAGGAAGGAAGGAAGGAAGGAAGGAAGGAAGGAAGGAAGGAAGGAAGGAAGGAAGGAAGGAAGGAAGGAAGGAAGGGTGAATGGTCCAAGAAGAAGACTGAGGAAGTCATAGTTAGATGGAATTGATAAGATTCTTAGCACAAAAGAGAGGTGAGAAGCTTAAAAAACAAAATATATGAAGTGATGCATGGACATGGTTTTCAAGGACCAACAGGTATACAGAGGTATACTAAATATGTTGGCCTGGTGTAGATTTAACTCTATATGTTTTCCTCTTCCCACCTCATACCCTAATTGCTTTGGCTTACTTTTTCTAACTCCTTTTCTGTGATCTACATAATGTTTCAATCCCAAAAGGATGTAGCATGATCCATCTCTATGTACAGTATGTAAGCCTTAGATATATGGAAGAAGGAGCAGTGTTATATAGGTAAAATTGCCCATTAGCATTTAGAGCTTCCACAAAGCATTTACTGGTAGTTCCAAGATCCCATATAAACAGATGTCTGAGAGATGCTGGTAGTCCTGTAGCAGCTATAGATTTAGCATTATAGGTTTATAGGCCAGGAGGGGGAAAATCCAACATCCCCTTCTTGCCACTTGACTAAGGAAATCCCGCTTACTTTAGCCCTGTTCATCATGGAGCAGAGACCAAGTGAGTAGACAGCAAGTAATTGTATGACCAACTCTTTCTCAAACCCGGGCAGAAGTAAAGCAGTTCCTATGTACTTACTACAAACCTACTGTTCACTTTCTCCAGTATCTGCTTCTCGTTTAAGGCCATGGCTTCCCCTTTCCGCTTTTTAATCCGCTTTTTCTCAAGCTTCTTGCAGGCGTACATCTTTCCGGTGGCCCGCACCTGGCAAGCACAAACCTTTGAAGGGAAGAAATGAAGGGTGATGGTTTTGGCAGTTCACGAAATTTTATTAGCGTTATCAGCATTAAGTGGTTTATTGGATTCTGAAGTCATTACTGTGATATCGTCAAGCAAAAATGCTGTGATATCTTAGCGATTAAATGGTTTATTGACTCCATCACACAAGCCTTGGCTTTTACTGCAAAAAAGAAAAAAAACACGGAGTTCATAGCCTTCCTGCTGAGAATAATATGACAGTCCTGGAGCTCGGAATCAAACCTAAATAAATGGGTTAAGATCTCATTCTTGCCGAATCCTTACATGTTTTGCAGCCATTAGTATTTCCCTGACTGCAAAGTTTGGGGCATCAAATGTAGGAAGGAGCAAGAAAGGGCTTTAAATACTTAGCATATCAGTCAGGCTATTCAGAAAGGTACTTGTGATCATCATCAGCTCAAATAACCAAGATCACATTCTTGTGAAGTTCTTGTTCAGAAGCAGAAAATTATTCCATACAGTGGCTTCCTAAAGGCAGGCAGGGGAGCTGCCTCCTGTGGTTGGTCAAATTACATACCTCTCCAAAGCCTCCCTTCCCTAGCACACGATATTGGCGGAAAGTGTTCTTGGTTACATGCTGCCTAAGAGAAAAACAGAGGTAAATTGCCCATTAGAAAGGTGAAGCCTTAGTTCTATTCTCCTTTGAGCAATACAAGAGGCAAGCAAAATTTTATACGTGAGCCCAATGAACCGGAATAAAAACGGAATCAAGTTCTAGCAGGCTAATGAGGAAAAAATCCTGATAAGGATTGGATTAGTTTTCATTATGTGACTGAGATTCCCCCTCCCACCCAGCAGTCAGCAAGATTGTTAAGGGCAGGAAATAGGCATAATAATAATAATAATAATAATAATAATAATAATAATAATAATAATAATAATAATAATAATAATAATAATAATAATAGTAGTAGTAGTAGTAGTAGTAGTAGTAGTAATAATAATAATAATAATAATAATAATAATAATAATAATAGTAAAGTTGGAAGGGACCTTGGAGGTCATCTAGCCCAACCCCCTGCTCAGGCAGGAAACCCTATACCATTTCGGACAAATGGCTGTCCAGTCTCTTCTTAAAAACTTCCAGTGTTGGAGCATTCACCATTTCTGGAAGCAGGTTGTTCCACTGGTTAATTGTTCTAATTGTCAGGAAGTTTCTCCTTAGTTCTAGGTTGCTTCTCTCTTTGGTTAGTTTCCACCCGTTGCTTCTTGTCTTGCCTTCAGGTGCTTTGGAGAATAGCTTGACTCCCTCTTCTTTGTGGCAGCCCCTGAGATATTGGAACACTGCTATCATGTCCCCCCTCGTCCTTCTCTTCGTTAAACTAGACATACCCAATTCCAGCAGCCTTTCCTTATATGCTTATAAACTATATACTGTATAAACAATAGGTCCAAAGAAGCTGGATCACAAGTACCCCATAATAATAAAATAAGATTTACCTTTCCAGATACTTCCACTGCAGGAAGCGGTTGAAGTAAACGCTGTCAAGGTAATCAGCAAAAGGTGCCACACTAAGATAGTCATGGATAAGCCTAGAAAAGGAACGAGAGCCTCTTAGGGAAATTGAAGTCACCCCATGCAGAAAAATAAAGATGATGAATGAGCCTGATGCTTCAAAAAAATTGACTGGACGTAAGTTGGAAAACTCTCACAGAATTAGGAAGGCTCATAATTTATTTGGCCAAGGCAATTCCAAAGGCACTATCCTATAGGAAAGCCAAAGATATAATTCCCAACTTAGATAGCACTAGGAGAGTGATTCTCATTTATAACGCCTGTTAGAAAGAGCAGGAGTCCATTGATTCATTACCCATTGGATAAAACTTTTTCCACAGATGCAGTAGAGGACTAGAAGATCATTGCTAGACAAATTTGGGCCAGTACCTGTTACCAGATAATATAGAGGTTTGAGATATAGAACTTCCTTATTTCTACATGCCCTGCCTCTCTTGAAATCAATATAATGGACACATGGTATCTAGGGGATCTCTAATATGGTTGCTAATCAGTTTGCAAACTGGCTTAGTTTGGGGGAGCACGCCCTCAGCTATCTAATGAAGGTATAGTGTTTTCCAGGGACAAGGAGTATGACCCAGAAGAAATGTCTGAATCTGAATCATAAAGTTAGGATCTCTTCTTTTCCACCAGTTCTCAAAGCTTTAACAGCTCTGCTAACAATCTAAATATTACTTATTAAGATGTGCACAAAGATGTTCTGCTCTACGTTGCCTAGTAGCTCTTCTATGACAGAAAAATGAATAATACTATACAACGGGTTCTAAAATTTATCAATAACAAATTCTCCATGCATTTGGTGAAGAGCAAGCTTAGACCTTGTTGAGTGACCAATTACTGTCCAGGAAAGGTACACAGTATTCATCAAATTCCACCCACTCCCTCTACTCACTTGGTAGATTCCTTAAAGAGTTCTTTACTTGGTTCCTCTTCCAGTTGCTCAGAACACAGATTTAACAGCTCCAAGGGTACTTCAGGGACGTGGTCCACACTCTGAGGACAAAGCATCAGTGTCAAATGAGGATTCACAGTTCTGCAAGAAGCAACGGTTTCTCTCCTAAAGAACCAGTCTCTGGCAGAATTATCATGGGGCTGGAGGGAATGGAGCAGGGCAGCAGCAGGAATAAACAGGAAGAAATTACTGTAGTCTCTTGGTGTTTCTCCTTGCATTGCTAGACCTTTACAGTTTGTTGTAGGATAGAAACTTTGGCAATGAATGATGTTGATACTCGGTGATATTGATTGTTATTCTACAAGAACCAGGCACTGAATAAGAAAGGGCTGAAATGGGCATTTGCATCATCATCATCACAATCATCTCAAGACTGCTGAGTTGTGACCATCCTGACTTTTACACACACACACACACAAACACACACACCACAAAGCCCTGATAAAAGACCAATAGAGTTCTCACTAAAGCAATTGCTCTTCCCAAAGCCCAGCTTATTATTAGAGTAACTCACAATGAGCCCCTTGGCTCCTTTGCTTGGCGGCCACAACCTGAGAAGCCTCTCACCTTAGGATTCAAGTATACTTCAATCAGGCGCTTCCCACATTCTTTCCGTTTCTCATCGGGGGTCACTTCATATTCAGCCTGCAATGAGAGCAAATGACACCATTGTTACAGATCTCTGCTAGAAATAAAAACACAGCTGAAAAGGTCCAAAACAGCTATTCTGTGTACAAAGAGACAAATCAGGGAGAATATTCTTTGTGTGCTCAGTATCAGTAAGCTGTCCAGATTTCGATGAGTGGCAAATAAATTGAATGAGTGAATGAATGAGTGAGTGAATGAATGAATGAATGAAATATCTTGAGAATCCGCTATTGCAGTACATTTTGGAGATAACACTAGACTTTGCTCTGAAGAACACAGAACAAGGAAATAGCAGCAGGGGCTACATGCATAGTGTGAAATGGATGCACTGTGGAATCCCAGATGAAAAAATGTGCAATTAGTGCCCCCCGTCCCCAACAAATGCTCATATTGAGTTGTGCTTACCACAGCATCCAGGAACTTGACACAGCGCATGAGTTCCAGTCGTGTGTCACAAAAATGCCGGAAAAGCAGGCATCCAATTGGCTGTTTATAACACAAGTTGTAGTAGTCCCGCTCTGGAAGCAAAATAAACATGGTCTCATTATGAAAATACTTGAATCCTCTTTCACTGCGATATGGCTGAGTATTTTCATAATGAGACATTGAGACAGCACTTAAAACCATTTTTCAACACATTGACTTGCTGGCTGAGAATTTTGAAAGTTGCAGTTTGAATGCATCTTGGGGGGGGGGATGTGCCACTTTTGAGAAGGCTGTGCAGCATCATTTATCACATCTAAATAATTATGTTCAAGAATAAAAGCAAATCCACAATTGCCCTGAAAAAGCCATCTTTTCACACTGAACAGTCTCCAAGAAAGAAATCTTCTATTTCCTATCAAATAATCTCTCTGTAGTTGTATGACATATCCTTTGTCCAACAAGATTCCAAGCAGGCTTTCCTTGAGAGAAAATCAGCTCAAATAATTGCTTCCAGAGAAGATTTGGTATTTTGTTTTAACCTCCTGGTGACTATTCTCAGGAAGGATCTTATCTCTATTCATGACTTTTGAAGTTACCCTTTTGTTTCTTTACTGCAGAAGCAAAAAAGAGAAGCCTCCCTCCCTCAGTTACTTGCCAAAATTAACCCACCATATTTTCATTAATTATTTTTCTGCCCTTTGCTTCATTTTTACACCCAAGGCATTGAAGCTCTCTCTCTTTTCTCTCTCTCTGTTAATTCCAAAGATAAACCTCATTCCAATCTTTACCATTATCCAAGAAAGCATAGAGGGAGAGAAAAATAAATATACAGTTCATTTGTTGAATTGTTCTCTCAAGATCTTTGTTCCTGCTTTGGACATGTCAATACGAAGGAGGCAAACATTTAGGAGTGACTTCTATCAAGGGGCAACAATTGATAGCTTTTCAATGAAGGTTCTGTTGCATCAGCTTTAACTAGGAGATGACATAACGATTTGCCCATATCAAGTGAGAAAAGGAAGATCATTACTGTGACCCTGGGCAGAGAGCAATAAACAGCTTTATCTGAAAGTGTGTTCTCAATCCTCATAGGTAGGTGTCTAGCCCACCATCTAACTTGATAAATGATACACAAAACTTAATGGTGTTGAGAAACAGATTTTATATAATTCAGGGACTGATACATTATCTAATAATCCCTGTGAAGACATCCAGATTTTTTTCCTGGTCAGAATGCCTGCTGGATCAGCTGAATTGAACTGACATATATAGACAATGAGAAAATTGTTCTAATGCACTTATAATCTTGAGAAACTCCAATTTATATGTTGGAATTATACCCTCTTTCTGTTGGGATCTCACAGTGGTATACATAGAACTTCTTTCCCTAATAACATAGCACTTCTTTCCTCCATAGCTGAATGTAGATGTGAACTGGCGTCTTCCTGACCAACACCTTAACTATTACTACACAGTAGCTACTCCACAGATATCCTACAAATCCAAACAATTACAGAGTCACGTTTGAATATATCAGGCATTTCATGCGCACTTTATACCAGTAGATTCCTCTTCTAAGTGATTACTAATCACATCATCTCTATAATTATCCATAACTCTGTACTTTATTTTCTACCACTCTCCTTCTCTACACAAAGGTCAGTACAACATCCTGTCTAAAGAGATTTTCCTCCAGTATTACCTCCATTTCATCAGTAATTAGACTTAATATTGAAATCCAGAAATGAGAATCACAGCATAATTGTACTAGCATATATCTAAGAGCAAATGGAATAAAATGGTTTCATGCTATAAGCCAGTGATGGCGAACCTTTTAGAGACTGAGTGCCCAAACTGCAACCCAAAACCCACTTATGCATCGTCGAGTGCCGGGTGGGTGTGGCCCATTGGGTGGGCATGGCCCATTGGGTAGGCGTGGCTGCGGTGGTAACGGCAGACTGGGTGGGACTAAAAAGTTCAATCAATCAATTCCAACTTTGCAAGATCTTTTTTTCCCACGAGAAGTTGAAATTGACTGATTGAACCTTTTTTTTTTTTTGCACATGGCGGTGGAGTCCTAAAATGAAAAGGTTTTATAAAACCCAGTTGAAGGCCTAAGACAGGGGCAACGGCATGCGTGCCCACAGAGAGGGCTCTGAGTGCCGCCTCTGGCACCCGTGCCATAGGTTTGCCACCACTGCTATAAGCCCCCCAGAGCTGCTTTGGAATGAGTTGGGTGGCAAATAAATTTAACAAACAAACAAACGGCTCCAAATAATGCTTGAGGTTTAGAGTTAAAAGCATTATTTCAAGACATTTGTTCTCAGAAACACACTAACACAGTTATGCAGTGGACCTCATTTCTGTATACACTTCTAAGCTGGGATTTTGCGAAAGAAAGAGCAATTGCAATTTGTTAGACACCATTAAAGGAAGGTCAATAGTTTCGTGCCCAGTAAAACAATGCTTAAAGATTTTTCAAGTCGGTATTGAGCGAAAAGCCCAATAGTGGCCTGGTTTGTTTTCCACATATCCTCAAAATTCATGGTGTTGTTTCATTGTCCTGCTGCATTGTTGGAATCAGGACTAATCATAATTTCCCAGGAAGCCTCTTGCCCATAAATCAGCCTGCCCCAACCCTCTCATGGCACATGTTGTAAGACTCTCCTTCTCTGTGCAGCAGTTTCTCTAAGGAAGCTGTGGTTTCCTGATCTGTGAAGAAAAACAACACCAACTCCAGAAACATGAGGGGGAGGGGCCCCAAGCAAACGAACCATTTCTTCTCTGATAGGAAATGAGTACATTGAATGAGGGAAGGTGAGGGGTTCAGAGTCTGGCAAGATTATTCTTCAGTTCTTAAGAACACGGTCAAGCCAAACACAGGCAAGAGTTACGTGCTAGACAGAAGCTTCATATTAGGTTGATTTGGCCCCAGGGCTCCATAATGGAATTGAGGGAAATTAATACATTATAGTTGAAAAATAGATTTCCTGAGAGATGGGAAGTTTCACGCCTTTTCTCTAATCTTTCAACCACAGATTGCCAATTTCACACAACTTTGCTCGCTATGTGATACAACTGCACAGATTAGAAAACCTACATGCTGTTCTGTGCCCCGCTCACAATCTTTAGACACATCTATCTAGGTCTCTAGGACATTAAGGTTTTAATGCGTACCACCTCTACATATACAATAGCATTCACTGTGTCATCAACATTTTTGATCGGGCATTATAAAGAGTTGGAAAGAAAACAGTTAGATATTACAGTTATAAGACAGATATTACTCCAATTTCAAGATGGGGAAGGGAAAAGTGTACTTTCCTAATTAACTCAGGTCAATATTATAATTCCTAAGAGAACAAATAGCTAAGCTATGCAGAAAACGTCCAGGTTTTTAGGGTCAGCATTGAAATATTGGCCGAGACCCAAAACTGAATTTTCCTCTTCCATCAAACACAAGATAATGCATCAGAAGGAATAATTAAGTAAAACCACTCAAGGAAAAAGCACAAGCATTATTGTGGACAGCACAAGGAAGCCCTAATTCAGTGGTGGTGAACCTATGGCACGGGTGCCAGAGGCGGCACTCGGACCCCTCTCTGTGGGCACACGTGCTGTTGCCCCAACCTTGCCTCCCCCCGTGACCCCCTCCTCACCCCCTGGAGGAGAGCCCCCCTGGAGGAGAGTCTCCCCCGAGCGTGGCCCACGCGGAGCAGCGCAGCCAAGGACATGGCAGCCAGGCAGCGTAGACAAGACTGCCCTCACGCCCCATCGCGCACAGTTGATGGTGCGGGGCGCGGGCAGAGGGCGTGGCCATCATGGCACTGCTGAGCTGCCTGGGCGATCTGCGGCGGGCCCTGGAGGCGGTGAGTGGCCCTGCGGGCAGGCAGGGTGGGGGCAAAGCAGGGGCGGGGCAGGGGTGGAGCAGGGGCGGGGCCAGGTTTTGGGCACTCGGTCTCTAAAAGGTTTGCCATCACTGCCCTAATTCAATGCCCAGTTAGGATCAACAAAAAAAATGGTTTGGGAACAGAAGAGAAACTGGACTTAATGAGTCAGTGGTATAATAATATGATCTGTATTCAGTAAGTCCCACATTTAATCCTTCGACTTGAGCTCCAAGGAATCAGTGCAAAGTTTGATGGACAACAATCTAAATGCATATCCTTCATCATTTAGAATCAAACTTTCGGAACATCAGCCTTCCAAATAGGAACAGACTCACCATGATTCTGTGTGTAAAAAAGCGAGTTTGGGGATGAGCTTCTGTGCTTCAGCCTAAGTTTACGCCTTAGCATAATTATGTCAATGTAAAATTTTCAACTGGTGCCACTTCTTTCAGATTCCTTATTTAAGGTTCAAAAAGCCTCACATACAGGTATCCATGATTCCATTTTTCAGGAAGAATGTTCTTAGATTCTACGAAAGCAGAATCCCCATCACCAACTAAATCCCAATTTCCATTGCATTTTTCAAACAAGTAAGAAAATTCCTTTCTGAGCAGTGAAAGGAGCTCAATTATTGTTTTGCTACTCTGTGCAAAGAAATTTCTGCCACCTCCTTCCAGTAACACTCTATATATGCCCAGAGAGGAAAAACTGAAATCAACAATTGTGGATCAGCATTCATCCACAATTGTGGATCAGCATTCATCCACAGCCCCTTTGATTTTCCTTAATGCAATTATAGTACTACAAAGTTATTTTATTTTCTGGGAGAGAAAAAAAGTATCAAAATAGTATGGTGTATACACTCAAAACAGCCAACTCTCCATTAAAATATAGGAAAACAAAACAAAACAAAATCAAGTCTTATGTAAAAGAGTTCCTTTAAATAAAAAGCAGTAATATTTTTTTAAATCAGAAGTATTTATTTATCAAATTTATATAGCTGCCCATCTCACAAATGCCCATCTCATGTCCTAGTGCAGTGGGAAATGGTTACTAGATTTTTAAAGCTGCCTAAAGCAGACATGTCAAACACAAGGCCCGGGGCCAGATGCGGCCCACGAAGTGGTTTCATGTGGCCCGCGAAGCCATCCTGGAAACAGTGAGGGAATGGCACCCTCTGCCTTGGCCCTGGCCCAGGCCAGCCGGGAGCCAATGTACAATTTTGAGGTGGCCATCTATGCTGAAACGCATTCAGTCTTACCTCCATAAGTCCCCCCCCCGCATGGCCTGAGAGGAAGAGTGAGGCTCCTCCAGTGGACCATGCCTTGGCACTTGCCCTGGTCCCACCCCCTTCTGCTAGAGACCCTCAGATCTATCCCACTTCTGCTCAGACCCCCACAGGCACCCTTGACGCGAACGATGTAGAGCTGGCCACGTCCACCCAGTAGGCCACACCCACTCCATCCACGCCCACCCAGTAGGCCACACCCACCCTGGTCATACCCACCCGCCCCCCTGAGGGCAACCGCAATGCTGATGCGGCCCTTAATGAAATTGAGTTTGACACTCCTGGCCTAAAGGAACAGCACAGACTGAAGCTTAAGCCTGTTCCTCAACATCCAGACTCTTCTCCAGCACTGAGACCAAACTTGGTTGGCTACAGGCCAAGAGACATAACTGGGCATTTTCAGCATATTGAGATGGTGCTATGGGATCAGCTTGACCGACAGCCTCGTGTGAATGTTAAATAGGCAAGAAGAAAGTGCTGCACCCTGAGGAACACCAGAAAGCAAGGGACGTTGACTCACTCTCTCCTTCCCCACCCCCCAATGTTGACTGGAACTGATCTCAGAGGAAGAGGAGAACCACTGCAATGTAATTCTCCCCCTGATCCCTGAGGCCAATCCTAAATGATTGATAGCATTTGTACTCAAAGCTACTGAGGGATAAATTCAGGAAAGTTAAATTGCCCTCATTTTAGTCCCACTAGACGTGGTCAACAAGCAGAAGCAATGCTGTTTCCAGTGCTGCATCAAGGCCTGAACATGTCTGAAAAGATAATCCACATCCTCCAGATTTATCAAAAAGTTCAAAACTTTCTACTAGCATAGATTCTCATATGGTCTTTAATTGAGTTTACTGTAAAATTTTAAAATATTATGCACATTTAATGTGTTACAGCTGTGCTTGGAACTTTTGAAGACTGCGGTGTGTGACTCTGAAACTTTGATCAGTGACCCTTTTAGTAACTATGAATCTACATGCTTGCGCCTACTCTGAATGGCAGTTGCTCATAAACAATTCAAGCAGAAGGTTTTTTTCTAGCCTTCGTCCTTGAGACTGTCTCTGAATTTAGCACACTGTAAAGTACAGATGTGCAAAATTTACCATTTTAGGAACAGAACATTAAGCAAATGGAATGGTCCATTTCATCTCTGGACCACGCTAACTGAGCTGCACTAGGGATAGTCTGGAGATTTTCTGAAAGCAGTTTATAGTATTCTAGACTTAGTATTCTGGACAAAATAAGAGAAACTCCAAGATATTCCTTGAAAAACAAATTTTGTTTTGCAATTCCCTCCTATAGAGGTAGTGCTCAACTTACGACCATAATTGAGCTCAAAACTTCTCTTGCTACATGAGGCATTTGTTAAGTGAGTTTTGCCCCATTTTACGACTTTTCTTGCCACAGTTCTTAAGTGAATCACTGCAGTTGCTAAGTTAGTGACACGGCTGTTAAGTGAATCTGGCTTCCCCATTGACTTTGCTTGTCAGAAAGTTGCAAAAGCTTATTACATGACCCTTGGATGCTGTGGCCATCATAAACATGAGTCAGTTGCCAAGTGGCTGAATTTTGATCACGTGATCGTGGGGATGCTGTAATGGTCATAAGTGTGAAAAATGGACATGTCACTTTTTTCAGTGCCATTGTAGCTTTGAACGGTCACTAAATGAACTGTTGTGAGTTGAGGACTACCTGTATTCTGCTACTTTGTATTGTCCCCTCATAAGACAATCAGCAGGTCATAATGAGAAGATACAGTACAAGGCAAGTTAGGTAATAATGTCAGAAATATTTTTCATTCTAGTGGAACCATTATGAAATCCAGCACAGTCGTGCAAATAGATAAAAGAATGCAATTCACAGAGGATGAACGAACACGATCTCGTTCCAAGCATTTGAAGTCTTTTCACTTACAATCAAGCAATCCTTGTACCAGTGAAATGGGGGTCAGGAAAGTTGCAGGCAAAATCTTACTCCTCACCTAATGTATGCTGAAGATCTTCACACTGGCTGATATGTGGGAACTGCAGCATTTGGCGCCATTTCTTACTCTTGCCTTTTCGATTCCCACCTCCACCTACATGAGACAAAGAAAAAAGAAAACACCAATAAAATAGTGACAAAACTAGAACACACTATTTATACATATCCTGTTTTTACCAATTGTTGCTCACCATTGGAACTCAATCAGTGGTCAAATCTACCCCAATTTTTTTCTGAGCAATCTATTATTAGATCAGGGGTAGGCAACCTTGGCTCTTTTATGACTCATGGACTTCAACTCCCAGAATTCCCGAGCCAGCCATGCTGGGAGTTGAAGTCCATTAGTCATAAAAGAGCCAAGTTTGCCTACCCCTGATCTAGATTGTAGAACAGACATGTCAAACATAAGGCCCGGGGGCCGGATGCGGCCCACGAAGTAGTTTCATGTGGCCCACGAAGCCATCCTGGAAACAGTGAGGGAACGGCCCCTGCTGCCTTGGCCCTGGCCCTGGCCCAGACCAGCTGGAAGCCAATGTACAATTTTGTGGTGGCCATCTATGCTGAAATGCATTCAGTTTTAGCTCTACAAGGCTGTCTGGAAACAACGAGGAACCAGGAGAACCTTGAGCAGCAGTCTTGAGGAAGTGGGGCTGGGCTTGGTGCCGCGGGTGCTCAAGGGTCAGGCTGGGCATTTAACCTCTGCTGCCCTGGGCTCCGGGCAGCCCGCACCACCATCCAGCCCCCCCGCATGGCCTGAGAGGAACAGTGAGGCTCCTCCAGTGGACCATGCCTTGGCACTTGCCCTGGTCCCACCCCCTTCTGCCAGAGACCCTCAGATCTGTCCCACTCCTGCCCAGGCCCCCACAGGCACACTTGACGCGTACGATGTAGAGCTGGCCATGCCCACCCAGTAGGCCACACCCACTCCACCCACGCCCACCCAGCAGGCCGCACCCACCCTGGCCACACCCACCTGGCCCCCTGAGGGCAACCGCAATGCTGATGCGGCCCTCAATGAAATTGAGTTTGACACCCCTGTTGTAGAACATTTCCAAAGGACTCTCTGCAGACATAAATGATGAAAGTATAACTGTGAAGAGCTTCATTAGGATCACGGACCATCTCCCTGTAAATAACCTTCAGTGACATAATGCATTGAAATATGATCTCCAGGATTTTCTTCCATATCACAATTGCAGGTAAACATTACACTCTACTTGGTGCCAAGTCCTGAATACGCAAATGAACTCGCTTCACAAAGTGCCAAAGGAAAGGAACTTTAAGAGTTTACCTCATAGGGCTGTGCAGTGCTTGAGATCACATGGGGACCACACAGGAGCATAAATATAGCACCTATCTGAAACTCTTTGAATAAATCACATCTCTAGGATTGAGTGCAGCCAGAGAGAGCAGCCGTGTGATTCTGGGGAAAAGATGCCACTTCTTAAAAGAATTGCAGACTGATGCTATATTCACACGCTTCAGGGTACCTAATCTAAAGTCTTTTGCACAGCCTTACTGCTAAGCAGTCAAGTCGATTTATGGATTACCAATATATTGATCACTTGAGTTTGAACATTAAATAAGGATACGGCCTAAGCCTAAACCAAAGTAGCAATATGTAATTTACAATGCTAATAAAAATAAATTAAAGTTAATTGCTGACTTCCTCTAAAATGCTCTCAGGTACTATGATGGATTATAGGAATTTAAAGCTACTTCAGTTTCTATAAGTACCAGCAATTCGTCATACAGTATCCAGCAACCAATTTTTTTCCATTTAGGCCTTTTTATTGCCTTGAGTACCTAGACAGCATTAACCCATACAGATGCTTTGCAGAAAAACAGATTCCTCCCTGTGTCCCCCACAAACACCTCCATAACAGTACAAACTACACAGGGTAGTTACAGTCTTAATATTCTTACAGCAAAGGAATCAGAAGATTAGAAATACTGATATGCAAGACCATATAATCAGAATATGTCAGGATTTAAGGCTAATAGTCATTTTTTCTTTCAATGCTTATACTTCTAAGAAGGAAGCAAAAGAGAAGTTTATTCTTAAGAAATATTTGTCAGCCAGACCTTTAGTTACAAACCAGAATGGTTAAACTGAAATACGTTGGCCAGGTTTCCTGTGAAACTCTTTACAAGAAGACTTAAATGCATCTATAGAGTGGAGGAAGACAATAGTCAGCTCAGCTGCCCAGAAGTTAGCAACTGCCTCACTAACTGAAGAAACCGTGTTCATTACTTTTGCAGCTTATAAAGAATGCTGGTTCTTTGTACCACCAGCATTCAGTCCATCCTTTATGTAATCTATAGCAATGGATTGAATGGAAGATGAGCAATATTGCTAGAAAATAAACCTTCATGTTTGAAAGACATGTACAGTACAGATAATTTGTTATATTGAAAAAAGGATATTTAGAATCACAGTTCTGAGACTCATTTTACTGCTTTGGCTGATCTCAGGAATTGACTTGGTTGGCTCTACTTATTGCTTAAATGGGGGACCATCTTCAAATTCCAAGGGTCTTGACCAGATTAGGAAGTCAAGAGGATATCCTGGAACAATAACAAATCATTTCTGGAGCACTGCTAAAAAATGCATGAATGAAATCATGACGATTTGAGCTTGAGGGCAACTTTACCTGGAAACTTAGCCATGGGGTACAGAGAGCAGGAAAGGGACAGAAGAATACAAAAGACTGAGGTGTAGCAAACCCTTCTTTTTCTTTCGTATTAGAGAAAAGACATTGCTTAAAATGGCACAAAATAATTGTGCCATATGATTGACTATACAAATCTAGGAAGGAAGTGAATCAAGGCAACGGGCAGCCGGCTGTACAATATTCTCAACTGCAGCTCCATAAAGGGAGATGCTAACGAGCACCAGAAGTAAATATTCCTTATAAAGGTCTATGTTGTAAAAGTTTTAGCAATGCAAGGCTCCCAGAGCAATTATTTACCAAACCCCCGCACCAATCACTTTTTCCTTCCAAAGAAGAAATCCATTGCAAAGAAAAAGAAGACAGCAGATCAGCCATTCTACTCATCTTATCTCTGTAGAACAGTCATCTACCATGGCAGAATTGGTCAAAAAGGGGGAAAGGTCCTCCAATTTCTCCCCTAGTAAAATCATTACTAATTCCCTTTAGAAAACATTTGCACTGTAAATAGGATTCACTATGTGCATAACTGTAAAGAGGCATAGCTTAATAAAAGCAGCTTAGATTTTGTAAGTTATTTTGAAGTCTAGAGGGAACGTATAAGGAGAAGTGAGCCAAAGAGAGGCATATCATAAAGATACACAAAACTGATGTTCTCTTTGATGAGCAGCAGAATGCTGTAAAATCAGAGTGCATATGTCAGTGATGGCGAACCTTTTAGAGACCCGAGTGCCCAAACTGCAACCCAAAACCCACTTATTTATCGCCGAGTGCCAGGTGGGCGTGGCCCACTGGGTGGGCGTGGCTGTGGTGGTCATGGCAGACTGGGTGGGTGTGGCCAAGGTGGGCGTGATCACCTCAATGTTGCTCGTGGGGAGGGACGCCTGTGGGAGCCGGGCAGGGTTGGGGGAAATCCAGGGGGTCTCTGGCAGGTGGGGCAGTGGGCAGGACGCTCATCCTGCGGGGAGAGGTGAGGCAGGGCGGGGGTGCCATTGTCACAGTGCAAAGTGAGGCAGGGGCCGGGGCGGCCGCTGCCTGACACCATCGGCCCCTGCGCACAGAGGCCAGCAAGCGCATGGGTGCTGGGATGCATCCAGCCACGTGGGACCTAAGCGAGTTAGTGGGCGGCTGGTTGAAGACGGACGGTTACCATCTCCAGGGCATGGTGCGCGTGCCCACAGAGAGGGCTCTGAGTGCTGCTTCTGGCACGCGTGCCATAGGTTCGCCACCACTGGCATATGTATTGCTGAATGTATATATATTTATGTATGAAAAAAATGTAGAATGTTTAGCTATCGTAAAGACTCCTTAAAACTGTGATTCCTTGCATGTTCATAGAGGCATGATTCTGTCAGTCTGAAAACCAAGAATGACACGTGATAACTCTTCCCAAGCTTTATTGTTCTTTATTGTTTCAAACCTAGAGACAAAATCTTGCCAGATTGAGCACTCTAGTTACAGTAGCTACATCTATAATATTCTCTGTTAACTATTAGAGAAAGGCTGTCTTCACCCTTTTTCTCTCACATTTGCTAACTGGGCTGAGTTGCCTCTTACTCCTCTGGTATGCCCCCCCTCCTTCCTGGGGATCTACCTCTTCATTACATTCCACCCTATAATGTTGCTGTACATCTATAGGACTTATTATTGCTGCATTCAAGATCACTATCTCATACATTTGGAACCCCATTGCTTCAGTTTCATCTCAGTATTGTTGCATCTCAGGGTTGGGAACTTCAATTTTTTTTCCACCTTCCAGAGTCTTCACTGATATGACTGCTAGTGTAATTATCTGCCATTTTGAAGCAGGAAATGTTAAATGGTACTGTAAGCTCTATAATAGGCTTGATTGATTATGTGCCTTTGAGTTATTGTCAACTCTTAGTGACCACACAGATTTTCTCCTTAATAATCTGTCCCTAATCTGGTCTTTCTTCCAATGTTGCACTCAATGCCACTGTAATTGAGTCCAATCACCTTACTGCTGGCTGACCTCTACTTTTCTTTCTTTCCATCTTTCCCAGTATTAGTGTTCTTCAGAGACCTAGGTCTTCCCATAATGTATAAGATAATTTGAACTTGGCTGTTTGTGCCTCAAGTGAGAATTCCAAATTGATTTGTTCAATGGTCCAATGTTTATTTTCTTGACTGTCTTTGGTATTCTTAGGAGCCTTCTCCAACAACAAAGTTCAAGGGTGTCAATACTCTACCTATCCTACTTCTTCAAAGTCCAACTTTTGCTTCCATAGAGTGCCATAAGGAACACCATAGCTTGCACTATTCTGATCTCTATAAGTATAGACTGAACATGGCAACCCATTATCTTTTCCAAGGTATTCATGACTACTCTACCAAGTGCTAGTCTACAACGTATTTCATGATTGCTTGTTCATTTACTGCTGATGGTTGATTCCACAAGGCAGAAGCTATTCAACACTTTCGACATCTTCATTGTCAATTTTAAAGCTGGTTTTTCTATCTGTTGTCATTAGATTGATTTTCTTCATATTTAATTTTTTTCACCACGGTGCTCTTTGACTTTTAAAAATAGAAAATTTTTAATTCTCTCCCAAGCTCAGGAAATAAAAAAAACACCAACTCTTTTTATTTACATTATCTCATCTTATTCTTTTGTTTCCATCAAAATATTAAATACAACACTCAGAGGCTGCCTAGCTCTGTTGTAATGCAAAATTGCTGCCACCAAAATGCACGATATTGACCAATATTGAACATTAGATTATGGGTACTTTAGCAAAAAAGGATGAAGATTTCATAGACAGATCCAGCACCAAAAGTGAAGGAGGATTGATGTCTACAGAACACAGTGTCACTTTTCTTAAAGGTATGTCTATACAAAAGAGAATTTGAGAACTTATTTAGCCTTGATGGCTATTTTTAATAAAGACTTCTTATACAGAAATATAATTTGATTGGGAGCCACCCACACTTGGTTGAAAGATGGGCAGCTGCATAAATGTTTTAAATTAGAAAAAAATCATGCAAGAATTTACATACAGATCTTATACAATAACCAAACATGTATTTACTTTGCTATACGTAGAACTGCAGCAAAACCAGAGCCAGCTGTATAGTACTACTGTTTGTTGTGCTCATTGAACAAAGCAAAACAAACAGTTACTTTGCAAAGTGAGATGGGTGGCATATAAATCTAATAAAAAAACAAATAAAACAGGCCTCCAAGCTCTTTGGATGCCTTTTCCTACAAACTATCAGTTTTCATATTGGATTCAAATTGGAGCTTCTCAGAGATCGCAAGAGTTCCATTTTATTCACATAGCTACTTAAGCCATCTCAATATACTGCATAAAATATATGGAAATAGTAGATCTCTGTGCCCTATAAATGTAAATGGTTTTCTTTTAAAATTGAAGCATGGCATTTTTTCAATAGGATAAATGGTTGTACCTATGAGACAATCTGTACATAGAAACCTAATGTTATTGTATCTACTCTTTGTAACTCTCCTTATAAACAAGCTTGTGCATTTCAAACACAACTCTTTGCACACTATGCAAATGACGAACATGGCAGGGGCTGGGGCTGGTTGCCTCACATGCATCCATACTTTTGCAAACTATGTCTTATAAAATGTATTGCTTCATTAGAACTAAAGTTCTATGTGAATTTTTGAAGATTCATTGTCAGGATACTTCTGCACAAAAGAAACTTTAACATACATAAAAAAACTGCACCCCCATAGATGTATGGCTCACTGGATTTACTTTGAAACACAGATAATACTGCAGATTTAACTAAGATCTTGAATCTTGATAAATACATAAATACCTAATCAGTCACATTTTCTGCTGTACTTTTAATGGACACAGTTTAAATTATATCCAGCTGTATTTGGACAATGACTGACATAAAAAAGTAATCTAAGTCTACTGCTTGAAAATCTTCCAGACCTAATAGCATGGTGTCTTCTTTTTTTAAAAAAAGCTAAGTATTTTATAGAAGATAGTGCCATGGCTATTATTTCAAACATAATACAAACCATTCCCTCTTTATGACCAACTTAAAATTATGTACTGTATAATTCTATACCTTGATAAGAAAACTATTATTACAATGATCCAGACATTTTCTTTTCCTAATTCAATTTTTAACTTTCCACCTGTTTCTCTTTACTATCCCAAAGCATTTCAGCAGCAATTGTTCATTATATATGTCAATCCTTTCCTATGATTCAGGTGGTTTAATTAGTAAGGATTTCAATTCTATAAATTTTGATTATTTACAAGTTTTTAAAATCTAAGACTTATTCAGAATCTTAATTTTGATACAGCTTATCAAAATAGCTACTAAATGATGAGGAAATACTTCCTGTTCTGATTAAAAGAAAACTAGGTCTTTTTTGTCATATAGAACTCTTAAAAGTTCCCCGTTGTTTCACAATAGCTTGCAGTCTTTCAATGACATTTTTAAATTTAAAAAATTAAGACACTTTGGACACATTCCTATATGTGTTTCCTTTGACATTTTAGTTAGTATGATGAGTCTTGCTTAGGTTTCAATGATATCCATACTTCCTTGAGAGCACGTCCCAAGGATATAATAAAGATTAGTATGCTGCCATAGTCTGAGTATTTCATTCTAATTTCCCACAAATTGTACACATAGGAAAAATAATCCTGTATAAAAACAATATAAATCTTATATAAAAGCAAAAGCACCTTTAAGAAAATATGCGTGGATGGCAGAGAGCTAAAGAACGTTTTCCAGCAATAAGCTCGTAAACATCTACATGGCTTTTAATGCAAAGTCATTGCCTTAATAGAAATTAATCCAAAAGCTATTTTTTCTCTTTTGCCATCAAGCTAGAAGAACTTGGTTGATGAATTCAGAATTCAAACTGGCATTCAATGTGTTACTTGTGACCATAGGAATTGAATCAGAAGAACCAAGAGTTTCACAAGTCAATAAACCCTCCCCCACATAAGCAGAACTGAAACAGTTTAGTAAATCCACACTCATAGATCTATACATATTTATATACATTGCCTCACAGTCATATCAAACCTTTTGCAGAGAACCGACGTTATATGCATAAGTCTACCATGCCTATAAAAGCATAATGATAGACTGGCAATGGCACCCACAGAAATTGTTGTGGCCTGGTCCACTAAGTCTTAAGAGATTCGTCTGGTAAATACAGTATGTCAAACTATAGCTCGTTCAATGAAACATGATTAGATTCTGGGTTAGTGTTATATGAAAATGAAACGTATCTGTCAGAAGCATATTGTTTTAATAAATTTGAAGGGATTCCCTTAGAATTGGGTTGTACACTGAGGCATTTCTAAGCTCCTCTCAAGCGTGGGAAATACACTCTTGAGTTGAGGTAAGACTTCTGAGGGTGCCCTCTTCGTGTCCAAATTGATACTAAAGTCCAGAAAAGTTAATCCTTTTAAACAGAAGAAGTCAGAGCATTTCGCTGGTATCACCCCAAACTACAGCTAGGGTTGCCAGGTCTGCTTCCAAAAAATAGCGGACAAGCGGGGGGGTGGGTGGGTTAAGTAGTAAAAAAAGTAGACTGTACAGCTTTAGATTACGTACCATTTCATCATAAAGCTTTTGAATAAAAAAAATGTCCACTATTTTGTGAAAAAAATAGTGAACATAATGTGAAAAAAGTGGACTGTCCACTCAAATAGTGGACACCTGGCAACCCTATACAGATCCACCACCACAACCCATACAGCCCCTTTGATCAATTTCTCAATTGCAGTATCTATACTTGTTTCCACTACTTCGTGGACAGCTCCTCTGCTAGGCCTAGTAAACGTCCACCTCTCTCGGCTGCTAGTTGGTGTCTCGGAAGCTCTGCTGCCTCTTTATTTCCGATAGCCGGGCAGCCCTGGCTGCAAGAGCTCTCTGGCCCCCGTGCCACAACTTCCTTCACGTGGATGCTTTTCAGACAAGCATTTATTATTTATTTATTATTTCAATTTATATACCGCCCTATCTCCCTTACGGGACTCAGGGCGGTGAACAGGCGATAATAAAAAATCACAATAAATATTAAATAAATAAAAGCATCACCCTCCAGCCCAGCCTCCCCTCCGCCTGACCACTCAAGCCAGCCGGGCTGGCCCTCGGGATCTTCCACCGCTGCCTTGTCACTGAAGACCACCCGGGTCCTCCGCCCACTTGCCAGCACCAAGCCATCTAGCCAGCCAGCCAGCCAGAGCGCAGCTCCGCCGGCCACCCGCTCCTCCGAAGAGGCCGTGCATTGCATAAGGACCGCGGTGCCCAGACAGGAGAGGGGACGCTGGGCCAGAAAGGACCAGCCTCGGCTCAATCCGGAGAACGCGCGGGGTTCCTTCCCTGGCATCGCCCAGCCTTTCCCAACCGAGACCCAGGTTTTCTCACCTTCGCGCGCCTTGAGCAGCACAGTGTTGGCCACGATATTCTCCAGCTCCATTGGGGCCAGCCCGAGGCGCCGCCGCCGTCGCTGCTGTCACCTCTTCCCACCCGACCGCTCTCCTTCACCCCCACCTCCGACCGCTTGGTCCGGCACCCAGCTACTGTACCTCCATTCTTAGCCCGCCCACTGCCTGCTCGCTCCGACCAATCCCCGCGCGAGCATGGCCCGCATCGGTCCCTAAATGGCCCGAGGAACTCCCCCGCCTCCACTCTGCCCTTCTTTCTCATTGGGCGCCAAAAGAAAAAAAAAGCCACATAGAAGGCATGGGCCGCGGGGTGATTGGCTGAAACTGTTTCGCGAGGCGGGGGTTAGCTCTTAAAAAGAGAGCTGTCGTTCGGGTCGTCGTGGTAAAGACTTTGGTTGAAAGGGCTGGGCTTACTTATCCAAAAATCCAATTGCTTGCGAAGGTTGCTAATGGCCAGTGTTTCTCAACCTTGACAATTTTAAGGCATGTGGACTTCAACTCCCAGAATTCCACAGCCAGCATTGCTGGCTGTGGAATTCTGGGAGTTGAAGTCCACATGCCTTAAAATTGTCAAGGTTGAGAAACACTGTGCTAATCAGAGAGTAACAGGTGGCTTCAGAGGTCATGAAACAAAAATATCACCTGTAATTCGCCTATAGACGAATCAGAATGCCGAGTAGGTTTCAAGGATTTTGGCTACTTGTGTAACTTAAAAAAATATCTCCATTGAGTAAGACAGAAGCAGCAGCCCGTTCTCAGAGACAGATGTAAAGATCTTACAAATGAAAACCCCAGTCGAATTTTTGGAGAATTGCTTTTTAGATGGAATTGGAATGAGTGTAGAATTGCAACTTTAATCCTTGAAGAACAACAAAAAAATACTATGTCTTGAACAGTATACTATTCAGCATTGTAAGTGCTGAGCAAATTGGTAAACTTCTGATTTTGATCCATATTTTGGATGCAAATGCTGTTGTAAGTACAGACTCATTCTTCTTCAATTACTTCCTGGCCTATTTTTTTTTTTAAAGGATTGTTCTAGTGGTGTTAAAGGTGAAAGTTAGTGGTGAATGTTTGTATAATTATTGCATTGATACAGTAGTGTATTAAATATACCCCGATATAGTAGTTTCCCCCTTTTTTATGTCTATGGAGATTCTCAGTCATCCAGATCATAGTTATCCCAAAGATGCTTTTTCACAAGGCAGGTGGACTTTCTTGTTTTTCTTTGAAGATGTTACGCTTCTCATCAAAGAAGCTTCTTCAGCTCTGACTGGATGGTGGAGAATGGAAGGATTTATACTGCTTGCAGACAGCTGGTCATTTGCATTCTTTTAGAGAGACGTTGATCTCTGTGGGTTTTACACACAGATCAATATTTATATTTTGAATCTCACCACCCACTGGAGCACAAAATGGGACTTATCAGAACTCTACACCACCAAGCTGAAGGCCTGCCTACCAGCAAAGATGGCAGAGAAAAAGAACTAAAACATATCAAGGAAGGAGTTGGAGTTGTTCGTCCATCGATTTCGATGAAGACCTTGACATCTTATGGATTATGGGCCATCAACGGTGTGTCCGTAGATGGCTGATAAGACCGATGTTAGCACGGAATGTTCTGCCAGATACTGAACAGAGAAATGTGGACACTATTACTTCAAGGAAGCCCTCAGAATGTGTGGCTATCCAACGTGGGCCTTCCTCAAGTCCCCAAAAAGACCCAGCAGAAGCCTAACCCTTCTCACAAGGTTATTGTGGGGAAAATAGGGGGAGGAAGATGTGTTGTATGTATCTGCCACCTTAAATTATTTGTAAAAATAATAAAAGTGGAAAATAAATAAAATAAAAATACTGTAAATCCATTTGTGTTAATATATTCTGATATTTCTTTAAGCATGGACAAGACCATTTATTTTAGCTGCACGAAATAAAAGTTTAATGCTTTGTGTAACAAAAAGCAAGAATGCTAAAAATGAAGTCAAGTCTGTTAATGGATATTTGTTAAGTACTGTACATGAATAATCTACCATGGCTACCCTCTGACATGACAACAAAGATGAGATAAGATAAGTGCAGCATTGTTGGTCCAACAATTTGGTAGCTGGATGTACTTTCAGTCATTTATAGTTTCCATAGTTCAATCAGGCTGCTGTAAGGAAAAAGGTGTACATGGCAAAATTAAAAGAAAAAAAAATGATCTCAGATGACGATCCAGCAACGTGGCCTTAATGTTGCAAAGAGTGATATTTATATGAGAAGTCTGCATCATACACTGCAATTAAATGCATACCTGCAAATGGTTTCAAATCTAAGAAAATAGGTATATTTAATAATCACAACATGTCCCTGTATCTAGGAGCAATACAGTAAGCTAAAAATGTATATGAGTAATACTGTCTATGAAAGGCTTGCCAATTCTTGGATCAGTTTTATTCTATGTCACAAAATTCCCATGTTATCCAAACTGAGATTGAATCTGTACTCATTTTGGGGCAGTACATTCGAGTGAATTTAATATTATTAATTTTTTACTGTATGTGGCTGCAAAATTTTACAATGTAGCAATCACTATGTGGTTGTACAGTACCTATGAACAAACTAAATAAATGTATTTCTAGCCAAGAATTTACTCTTGGCCCTGAAAAGAGAATTCTGATTGCCATTTGAACGACATATTAGATGATGTGGCTGCACAATTTGTACTACTGCTTGGGTTAGTTGCTCAACAAGGCAGTTGCTGTATTGGCAATTGGCACAACTGTTAATGTATATGTCAGTTAGGGAACAATGTCCTTGCTTCTAAAGCAGGGGTCTTCAAACTTGGCCCTTTTATGACTTATGGACTTCAACTCCCAGAATTCCTCAGCCAGCATGGCTGGCTGAGGAATTCTGGGAATTGACGTCCACAAGTCATAAAAGGACCAAGTTTGAAGACCCCTGCTTTAAAATCATGGCTTGAGCAATTCCTGTGACCCATGGCAGGATGTATTATAGAAATGGAAGATTTAAAAAAGTGAAGCCCAAGTACTGGCTACTGTCTGAGATATCAAAAAAATCTGAGTCTAACCTTCATATATGCACTTTTGGACAGAGAGGATGAAAAAAGGGAGACGAACTGCTCAGTTAACAGTAAAGAAACCAACCACTTTTTGGAAAAAAAACTGTCAGACAACATTCTTAATATTTTTAATTGATTAAATCTTACTCATTGACCTCCAACAGCCTTTGCAGCATGCTACACTATAGGGAGTAGCACAGGAGGAATCATTGCTTTTGTGTGCCTTTGAGTCAGTGTTGACTCCTACCGTTTTCTGGGAAAGATTTTTGGAAGTAGTTTGATATTGCCTGCTTCCTAGAGCTGAGAGGGTGTGATTGGCCCAAGGTCATCCAACTGATTTCATGTGGGACTAGAAGTCATAGTTTCCTGGTTTAAGTATGTCCTATAAAGTGGGCATGTAAAGAGATGGATCGATATCCATATGAGAGTTATAATTTTACAATGGGCTACTATTATTGGTATCTCCCTATAGCACAGTGGTGGCGAACCTATGGAACGGGTGCCAGAGGCGGCACTCAAAGCCCTCTCTGTGGGCATGCGTGCCATCGCCCCAGTCCTAGGCCTTCAGCTGGGTTTTATAAAACCTTTTTGCTTTAGGCCTCCGCCGCTGTGTACAAAAAAAAAGGTTCAATCAATCAATCAGTCAATTTCAACTTCTCGCGGGGAAAAAAAAGATCTTGCAAAGTTGGAATTGATTGATTGAACTTTTTAGTCCCACCCAGTCTACTGTTATCACCGCAGCCACGTCCACCCAATGGGCCACACCCACCCAAATGGGCCACACCCACCCGGCACCCAACGATGCATAAGTGAGTTTTGGGTTGCAGTTTGGGCACTCGGTCTCTAAAAGGTTCGCCATCACTGCTATAGCACAGGGCTTTTCAACCTTTTCACCCATTGTACCACTTTTAGGATATGGCAACATCCGAGTACCACCAGTCGCCTAGCAAGGTGTCAAAAACTTGATGACCAAAAAAAAAAAAAAAANGGCAGCGGGGGTGGGGTGGGGGGTGTTTGGTTTTTATTCCCCCCGTCTGCTGGGTGGTTGCAGCAGGTTTTGGTCACTTCACATGACCCTGGGACACTGTGACCGTCATAAATATGAATCAGTTGCCAAGCATCTGAATGTAAATCACAAGACCCTGGAGATGCTGCAACATTCCAGCTGATCGGCGCTTCTTCTGGGCAGCAGAAGCACCAGGATCAGCGCCGAGCTCCAGCTGGAGCCTGGCGCTGATCCTGGCACTTCCACTGAGCCCTGACAGCCCCGAAGAAGCGCCGATCAACTGGAAAGCGGCACTGATCCTGGCGCTTCCGCTGAGCCCTGACAACCCTGTAGCTCCAGCCATCTCTCGCTCAGGCTTATGCGGTGCTGCCACCGGTTCAGCTCATTCCCCTCCCCCGCTACCACTTTTCTAGGATGGTCGCGTACCACCTGCCTGGTGCCAATGTACCACAGGTGGTACCCATACCACTGGTTGAAAAGCCCTGCTATAGCAGATGGGATACTGTATGCAGAGAATTATTTAGAATAATTCTCAGTGTGATCCATAATTCTTTCTGTTTCATCCTGCCCACAGAGCAGTTCCTGAGGTTCTCCAGTTTTAATAAACAAGTCAATCCACACGGCATGTGGTTTCTGTAATCTCTTTGTTGCCATCTAGTGGTTGCTCAGATTTGTGCAGCCCAATTAAAGTAGCCCTACTCTTTTTTAAAGGCAGAAACTTGATTGATCACCTACCAGGACCTAGCTCCACCAGTGCTTTGGGTTAAGAACTCCTGGGAAAGTGTATCAAATTAACTGGGTAGCAATTGGTGTCACACAATAATTATTGTCATCAATGATACAACTCTTGCAGGTAGTGAAGCCACTTTGTAAAGATGCAGCATATGTAATTAATTGTTTGATATATAAACGACTTAACTTCAAAAGAGAGAGAGTCAGTAGTATAGCGGTTAAAGCATCAGGCTAGA